ATTTGTAATCTGATCATTTGGAATATAGAATGCACTTTCCCGCAAAAGCCATGAAATATGAATTATGGTAAAATTCCCAGACTTTCCTACAAAAGCCTACAGGGTAACTAAAATGCCATATATTTACAATGAGGAAAAAAAGCAAACAGTATTTCAGCTCCCATTCTAGAGGCTCCTGAAATAGCTTTATGCAGTCTCAGCCAGTTCTAAAACTTATTCATACTTAAAAGACTGATCTCAGATTATTATGAAGAAGGAAAAGACAGCTAAATAGCACTACACCATTAATGGAAGAAGCAAGATGAAACTTAAATTTTCTAGTATGGCACATTCATTAAATGTGTGCCAGAACTCCTTTAGGTGGAGCCAAAGAGGATGGGGTTAGATGATTACTGAGGTCTCCAGGCTTCTCCCAGCTCAGGCTGGACAGAATCCACAGTTGGATCAATTAATCTTTTAGACCTAAGTGTTCAGCTTAGAAGAAGACAGAAAAGTAATATTTGAAAATACACCTTGAAACTTTATCAACTTTTTCCAATTAGACCAAAGGCACCTCCTCTCATTAGGACCCCAACTCCTCTGTTTAGGATAGAGCTATCAGGACCTTGACTGCCTATTACCTGCAAGGACCCTTGCTAACTCACTGAATTTCTATATAACATAAGCTTTTATATGAAAGATATAAAACAATAAATTTCTCACTCCACCCTTTCAACACATGGTACACCATCCATAAAAAAGCAGCTCCACTAACTCCAGAAATCATTCTGCTCTAAACTCCCCACTTTCCAATTTTACTATCGTCTCAGGGATTTTCCATTTCTACTCCTACTTTTACCTCCCTACAAATAACCATGCAAAGAAGACTTAGTGTAAAATACAATAATGATTTTCCAGCCTTCCTTCCCTTTTGACAGGAAGAAGCACCATCAAGGTGCACAAACAGCAGACCCAATTATGGCCCAAAAAGCCCTGCAACTAGCCAGTAATATTGCCCCTGTCCACACATTCACCTGATAGTTGCTGAAAACAATATGCATGTTTCACCAAGATAATAGCTACTCTGCAACTTCCTATTCTCTTAACTTAATAAACATTTTCTATTTTCTCTATATAACAGAATCTGATTTTAACAGTTACTTTTTGATTTTTGCTAAGCAATTAGTATTTCTGATCACTGGCCATCAATGAACTGAGTAATTATGAGGAAATTTTTATTTTATTTTTTCTTATACTTTGATTATAAAACAAAATATTTCGTTTTCATATAGGAAGAAAACAAAACAATTTTGAACATCTGGGCGCATGGAGGTATGGTTTCCTACAATGGAGAATTCAGTAGGAACTGCAGGTGAGGTAATAAGTTTAACTCTGAGAATACTGAGGCCAGTGGAGCGTTCAATAGACAGCCAAGAACATGAGTCTGAAATTTAGGGGAGAAACTTGGCCTGGACCTACAAGGTAGGCAAAAGCAAGCTTACAGTTATAAGTGAAACAGAGTTTATTCTTATACTAGAGGCCCAATGCATGAAATTTGTGCACGGGTAGGGTCCCTAGGCCTGGCCGGCAATCAGGGCCAATCTGTGGGGCGACCTACGGGGCAATTGGGGCCCCTGCTGGCACCCGCCTTGGCTGGCCTAGCACTGCCTGCTCACCAGCCCCTCCCCACCACCGCTGCTGCCACTGGTCAGGGCCTGTGGGCTGAGGGCAGCTCCTGCATTGAGTGTCTGTCCCCTGGTGGTCAGTGCACGTCATAGCAACTGGTCACTCAGCTGGTTGTTCTGCTGTTCAGTCAATTTGCATACTAGGGTTTTATTATACAGAAATTATTTATTGTATTTATTATTATTATTAACTGACTATGCCCACCTATGTATAAGATGGGAATCAACAGCATATGATGATGGTTAAAGCCAAAGTTCTGGGGGAAATCATTCAAGATAAAGATAGAGAATAAGAAATAAAGAAGCCCTAGAAGTAACAAAATTTAAGGAGATGGGTAGAGAAAGATAGCAAAAGATCTTAGCAGAAAAGAGAGTGGCTGGAAAGGCAGAGCTTAAAAACTGCTTAAAAACCCAGGAAAGAGTAATGTCACAGAAGCCAGGGGAGGAAAAGTTTCAGGTCAGAGGGAGTGGCCACCATATCAAAAGTTGCAGAGAGATCAATAGAATAAAGAGAGCCTATCTGATCTACAATGAAAAGAACACTAATGGCTTTGGCAATGGTAGTTTCTGAAGAGAGGTAGGGACAGAAGCCAGAATGCAGTGAAGTCTCTAGAATGTGGGAAAGTAAACTACTTTCAGGAGCTTGACTCCAAGGGTTAGAGAGTTATTTTTCAAAATGGAGAAAAATTCAGATTTATATACCAAAGAGTTAAAGCTGAAGATACACAAACACCTCTGCCCCAAAAGCAACAGCTGCCTTCTACTCCACTGAGACTAACACATCTGTCAGCACCAATTTTCTCTACTCCATGCCCAAAACATAAGGAGTTTGTTGTTTGTTGTCTGTCATCACCTTCATTGCCATTCTCCTAGCCCTAAAGAATGCTGGTCTTCACTCTTGCTCAAGACAAAGCCAATATCTTTGGATCCCATTCTCTCCTACCTCCACAAGAGCCTTGCTCTATCAGTTATCCTTTTCCTTTTTCCATGTTCAGCTCTTCCCTCTGGACTATCTCTTTCCCCTTAACATAAATTACTAAGTTAAAGTCTATGCAATATGGGGGTAAAAAAGTAGAAATTAGGAATGGGAAAAGAACACACAAAAACTGCTTGAGTATCCACTATTTCCCAAAATAAAAACTGCTTGAGTTTTCATTACTTATCCCACTATGAATGTAAAAATACAAGTAAAGCATTCATTTATTCATTCAACTAATATTTATTTGGTGGCCACTATGAGCTAGGAGTTGAATATACGCCTGTGAGCAAAATAAAGTTTCCGGTCTTCTGAAATTTATCAAAGTGGGGGTGGTATAGATAATAAACAAATACACACATCATAGTAAGTGTTTGGAAGACAAAGCAGGACAGAGAGTAATGGGAGGCACTGTTTTATAAAATAGGCAGGGAAAGCCTCCCTGAGGAAATGACATTTGTGCAGGAACTTCAGTATAGACACAGCAAGTACCAAGACCCTCTGACAGAAGTATACTTGATATGTTCAAGAAACAGAAAGTATTCCCCGACTGGTTTGGCTCAGTGTATAGAGCGTCGGCCTGTGGACTCAAGGGTCCCAGGTTTGATTCCAGGCAAGGGCATGTACCTTGGTTGCGGGCACATCCCCAGTGGGGGTATGCAGAAGGCAGCTGATCGATGTTTCTAAGTCTCTATCCCTCTCCCTTCCTCTCTGTAAAAAAATCAATAAAATGTATTTTTTTAAAAATACTACACTGTTTAAAAAAGAAAGAAAGAATAAAAAGTGTGGCTGGAACAGAGTAGAGTGAGTTAGAGAACAAAGGTAAGAAATCAGGTCAGAGAGGATACCAGTGCCTCATCATAAGAACTGTAATTTCATCATAAGTCTTTAGGAAGATACTAACGGGTTTTGAGAGGAGTGTAACCATGTCTGATTTCTGTTTTCAAAGGGTCACTCATGTTGCTGAGTGGATAATTATCATTATAACATCGGGTGATAAAGTAAGATGATAAAGGGCAACTGGACAAACCAAAAGAGAAACACTGAATGAAAGTAAGTTAGGACAGGCTTTGCAAAAGGAGTGATGCATGAACAAGCAAGAAAGGAGATGGGGGGTGAGGGAGGGGGGGTGGTCTATGCCAAGTAGCTGGCATAGGTGTAGAAAAGCCACAAGAGTTTTGAAAAGATTTGGTATTTCAATTCCCCAGCACCAAACAGTCTAAAATATTTTATAAAAACATATCTTTTATAATGTCTACCAAAAAAAAGACCTATTAAGATATTTGCATGACCTTTATGTAGAAAATTATAAAACTATGGAAAGACATTAAAGGAGCCCTAGCTGGTTTTGCTCAGTGGATGGAGCGTAGGTCCAAGGACTGAAGGGTCCCGGTTTCGGTTCTGGTCAAGGGCACGTACCTCGGTTGCAGGCTTGATCCCTAGCCCTGGTCGGGCACAGGCAGAAGGCAACCAATCTATGTGTCTCTCTCCTATTGATGTTTATCTCTCTCTCTGCTTCTCCCCCTCCCTTCCATTCTCTAAAAATTAATGGAAAAAATATCCTCGAGTAAGGATGAACAAAAAACAAAGAATTTTTTTAAAAAGGAAAGATATTAAAGGAGGCCTATTTTATTGAAAGATTCAACTGGTTGGGAATTCCCAATATTTAAAATGTGGCCTCTGGCCGGGTAGCTCCGCTAGTTAGAGTATTGCCCCAATATGCCAAGGTTGAGAGTTCGATTCCTGGTCAGGGCACATACAAGAAACAACCATTGACTGCATAAATAAGTGGAACAAATAGATATTTCTCTCTCCCCACGTCCTCTCTCTCTAAACTCAATAAATTTAAAAATGTTTTAAGTGTATATTTTCCCCATTAACCTATAAATGATATATTTCAAATAAAAATCCAAACAAGTATACCAAAAGACATGCACAAAAATTTCATAGGACCATGACTGATAAAAGTTCCAAATGAAAACAACCCAAATATCCATCAAAAGTAAAATGAACAAATTACAGTATATTCATAAAATGGATTATAAAGCAATGAAAATAAATTACAGCCACACAACTCACTCCCTAATTTAGCACAGTTTATAATACAGTGATGCTCAATAAATATTTCCTGAATTAATGAATCTATGGAAGGAGTGGGGAGGGAGAAGCAGAAAAATAGGAAGACAAATTAAAAAGCAATTATAATAACCCAGAAAGAAGATGTTGGGTTCACAATGATCACCTAAACTTACTATTTCTCTGTTTTACAAGAGTATGATTATAGGAAACTTTTAAGAGAAATAAAATACAATAAGACCCTGAGTCAAACCAGGCAATGCAGTAATTCCCTGTCTACTCACCATTCTTCCGCTCACTAAGTGGAGGCAAATTGGGATTTCTGCCAGGGTGGAGGCCAAGGGTCAGCTCGGGCTGCAAGGAGAGCTCCTGCAGCTCATTGGCAACAGCTTCACTCTGGGGGCTGGGGGCCGCGGACAGGGACACCAGCACTGGTTCATCATCATTTTCGCCAGCCCCTCCTCCGTCCAGCCCATTCACAGCAATGACGGAAGGGGGCAGGCACACTACACTGGAGAAATCCACTTTGGCTTTCGTGATGGCAACCTGGAAATGGAAGGAAAAACAAAAAGCTTAGATGTCACTGTAAATAGACTATTTTACTGAGGATAAGCTGAATACTAATATTATTAATTATATTATTAGTACGCTACCATTATTCTTTAAAACTCTGGGTAAAATAAGATAGCAGCATTATTAAATTAACTATACTCACAGAGTGCATAAGATTGAAAGTCTGATACTGTCCTCAACTACATCACTCAGGAGGACAACATACAATTAAAATAAAGGTAGCATGCCCACACACACGTACAACGAAATAAAAGGGAATAGTGGCCAAGGAGAAATAGCTGAGATCAGTGTTACCTTCCAATTAACTATGGGAAAGTATCCTGAGAAATAACACTTAATGAGCATCCACAAGGTATGACAGTGTCATGTACTCCCAACACAATTTGGGGGAGAAAATTTCTTTAAGAAAACAATTCCCGAGCCATTAGATACCACAAAGAAATATAAATATAGAGATGTCTGTTTGACGATGGGTAGTAGCTTACATGAATGTTTAATCATAGTACCCAGGAATAGGATAATAAAAACAAAATACCTGGCAACATGGAAAAGGACAAGATTTTTAAAAATGAAAGAGCCTGGCCTGCACGGCTTAGGGGTTGAGCGGCAGTCTATGAACCAGGAGGTCACAGTTCGATTCCTAGTCATGGCACATGCCCAGGTTTGGGCTGGATCCCCAGTACGGAGCAAGCAGGAGGCAGCCCATCAATGATTCTCTCTCATCATTGATGTTTCTATCTCTCTCTTCCTCTCTGAAATCAATAAAAATATATATTTTTAATGACAAAGTACTTACAACAGGAAAGTATTTTCAACAACATGGGAATTAATGGTTAAGTGGATTAAGAATATATTTATGCACCAAATCCTATGCAGTTAAGAATAATTTTTATAAAGCATTTAAAATCTACTTATACAAAAACCCTGGGTGTAACATCACGTCCAGAAGCTCCACCAACCGGAAGGAAGTCAGTCCTGCAGGGGTTGTCTTGGAAAAGGCTGCGCCCTTCCCCAGCTGTTTCCCCGGAGGGCGAGGTTTCAAGCAGGAACCAGCCCTCAGGGTGAGGTTTCAGGCAGGAACCCGCCTTCAGAGCAGAGCGTGTAAGTACTGAGTCCGGCCTTCAAACCAGACCCTGACAGTAGGGAGGAGGCAACCCCATTCCTCACAGAATCTGCTGTTGGATAGCTTGCTGTCAGTGGCCTGCCAGCCAGGAACCCCATTCACCTGCACCCCAGACCCTGACAGGAGGGAGGAGGGAGCCCCACTCCTCATGGAATCGACAGGTGGCCAGCTCGCTGTCAGGGGCCTGCCAGCTAGGAATCCTATTCACCTGCATATCTGTATAAAGTTTTAATACATTATATTAGAGGTCGTGGTGGGGGCTGTTTCCCGGGAGGGCGAGGTTTGAGGCAGGAATGAGCCCTCGGAGCCTGGAGGCATATCTTTATAAAGTTTTAATACATTATATTACAGGTTGTGGTGGTACTGTTTTACCCATAGCACCTACAGGAATTGCTGTAAATTTACTTCTCGGTGGAAGAACCTTTCATTCCCAATATAAATGACCAATTCCATTAAATGAAACTTCAATTTCTAGACTCGATATAAACAGTGAAGTTGCTAAAACTATTAAAAAGGCCCAACTTCTCATTATTGAAGAACGCACCATGGCATCCAGTCATGCTATAAACGCCAGAGACAGATTACTAAGAAATTATGAATTTGAATGTTGTATTTGGTGGGAAAGTTCTCCTTCTTGGAGGGGATTTTTGACAATGTCTCAGTATTGTGCCGCATGCTATGCGATCAGCCATAGTACAAATGAATTTAAAGTACTATAATGTTTGGGGATGTTTCAGAAAGCTGTCTCTTAAAACAAATATGAGATCAGAGGATTCTGCTTATAGTGAAACTTAGTAAAACTTGGAGATGGCAGCCGAAACCAGTTTGGCTCAGTGGATAGCGCGTCGGCCTGCGGACTGAAAGGTCCCAGGTTCGATTCCAGTCAAGGGCATGTACCTTGGTTGCGGGCATATCCCCGGTGGGAGATGTGCAGGAGGCAGCTGATCAATGTTTCTCCTTCATCGATGTTTCTAACTCTCTATCTCTCTCCCTCTCTGTAAAAAATCAGTAAAATATATTTTTAAAAAAAACAAACAAAAAAAAAACTTGGAGATGGCAAACTTGATAGCAGTTTTCATTTAAGAATGGATATTATTGAAATCCCCTGTGAAATGATTTGTAATGGATCTATTATTGAAGCTACCTTTGGAAATAGTTTATCTATAGATAATATTAAAAATACATCTAAACATGCAATTCTTTGTCCAAAAAAATGAGCATGTTCAAAAATTAAATGAAGAAATTTTGGATATACTCAGTGGAGATTTTCACACATATTTGAGTGATGATTCCATTGATTCCACAGATGATGCTGAAAAGGAAAATTTTGCCATCAAATTTCTGAATAGTATTACTCCTTCGGGAATACCATGTCATAAGTTAAAATTGAAAGTGGGTGCAATCATCATGCTATTGAGAAATCTCAATAGTAAATGAGGTCTTTGTAATGGTACCAGATTTATTATCAAAAGATTATGATCTAACATTATCGAAGCTGAAGTATTAAGGATCTGCAGAGGAAGAGGTTGATCTGATTCCAAGAATTGATTTGTTCCCATCTGACACTGGCCTCCCATTTAAATTAATTCGATGACAGTTTTCCGTGATGCCAGCATTTTTGATGACTATTAATAAATCACAAGGACAAACTCTAGACAGAGTAGGCATATTCCTACGTGAACCCGTTTTTGCACATGGTCAGATATATGTTGCTTTCTCTGAGTTCAAAGAGCATGTGACGTTAAAATTCTAAATACTTCAGCACAAGGGAAATTAGTCGAGCACTCTGAAAGTGTTTTCACTCTTAATGCGGTGTACAGGGAGATATTGGAATAAGTTTAATCACTTTATCAGTCATTGTTTGTATCACTGTTGTTTTTGTATCATGTTTTTGTTGTTTTCATATCATGTTTTTATTGTTTTTATGTCATGCCTCTGTTGCTGTTATATCCTTTGTTACTGTTTGTTTATTAATAAATTTATATGTTATTTTCATATACATTTTACTAATTTCCTTTCATCTCTCACACTTCTATTATAGAGAAAGGGTAAATAGCAATATTAAAATATTTCCACAATCACTTCCCTTTTAATGTGCACGAATTTCATGCACCAGGCTATTGGTGCATAAATTTTTATCTAAAATTAAGTGTAAGAAAAGATATAAAATGCATACTAACATATAAAAATATTATATGGGTTAAAAAGACTATAAGGAAGTATACCAAAATTCAAAAGAGATTGTTTCTTTTTACTTTCTTTAGTTTCCAAATTTTCCCTAAGACACTTAAGTGCACTTATAATCTACACTAATAAAAGAGAAAAATGGTAATTGGCGTACGACGCTACCCTTTTCATTGGCTAATCAGGTCTATATGCAAATTAACTGCCAAGTAAGATGGCAGTTAACTGCCACAAAGATGGTGGTTAATTTGCATATGTAGGCACAATGCAGGGAGGCGAAAGGGAAAGCAGGAAGAAGCCCCCTGCCACTGACAGTGATCGGAAACCC